ACCCTAAGAGCGATGGCCTCCACCCTAAGAGCGATGGCCTCCCCAGCGGAGCCGAGCTGCGAATGCCGAGCTTCAGAGCCGCGGGGGGAGCTTCGGGGAGCTTCGAGGGATGGACGAAGTCCTGGAACGGCCCATGTTTGGCGCCAAAAGAAGGCACGGTGACCCTTGGGGAGCTGGTCAGAATCGACTCATCAGGACCGGTGAAGGTTTGCGGCCAGGGGTGGTTGAAGTCGGGGGGCCTGTCTGGGGCGGCAGTCCCAGACAGGTCGTGTCTGGGGCGTTCCGAAGGACGCTGCCATTGTGGTGCAGCAGATGCTCTCAGCGGTCTTCTACATGCACAAGCGCCAGGTGGGGGGGCCATGGTGGACTTAGTGAAAGCCACTGGCCAAGCCTGGGGGGGTTACATCTGTGAGCTGCGAATGCTAGGGTCCAAGTCTAGGAGTCCAGCACTGTTTCGGTCATGTCAATATGTACATTGAGTGGCTTGATTCATTACATACATGTACGAATCGTCGCACGCCTAACCTGGCTTCTCATGCCTTTCAACGTTGCTAGCCATGTTGGGACAGGCCACCTTCAAGTCCGTTTTGCTGTATCACATCTCAAAACAGACGGACTCTCTTCACATCTTCACATCTTCACAGTGAAGGCCGAGATGTTCCATGTTCACCGCGCGTGCTGATGGCCACACCGATGCCAAAAGCGCAGGACCCCTTGTGTTGGGTGGACCCTGCAAAATCCCTGCGGTATGTCTCTTCCAGGCGGTTGATTCCCTGCAATCAACCCTATTAGGATTCCTGGCCGCCATTGATGTCATGGTGTTCGCATGTTTTTACCGCACAGTGGAGAATTTCAACTTCACTACAAAACCAGGGTCCACTGGGTAAACCATCTCAATAGTCCAACGGAAGGCTATACAGGCCGGGTCAAAGGTTTCAACGTTTCAACTTATACTGTTTCAGAAGTTTCAGCCGGCCTTTCTCCAGTGCTGCTTGGTGCTTTGACCAACCCTTATGACTCACGGTATGACACCCTTCGCTACAGTCGTCGCAACGAGGTGTGTCATCGAGATTTGAAACCTGAGAACTTCCTGTTCCTGACGCTTGGCATCACCTGACGCGCACATCGAATGAAGCAGGGCGAACTTTAGTTTCGTACATCGCGTGGACAAATACCATGGCCCTTCCGCACGGACCAGTGGATCTCCTGCAGGGTTCCGCATGGGTTCCCCTGGCCGTTCACGGACCGACGGAACATGGAAACCACCTGATAGGAAGGGGGTGTTCAATTGGTGCACCCGGTGCGCAGTTTTCAGGTTGATTAGTGGCCAGAACTGGTGGACAACTGAAGATCTCCAAGTGGACATTGCTAGAGGCTCCATTGGAAGGTTGAATCGGTGGACAACTAATCCTACAAGTCCAGTCTGACCCAGTAAAACCTGTTTTTTTTTTGCCTCCTTAAGGTCCTTAAGTATTGGTTTTGTATGACAATCTCCAGTAAAATAAGGTCTTTGACTTGTAGGGTAAATATCTCCAAGTGTCCTCGTCTCGCTATGCATTCTACTTCTTTGTTTCCTCGTCTCGCTGAGGACCAAGGGGCCGATGGAGAAGAACTTGTTGAAGATCATCGACTTCGGCTTGTCCAAATGCTTCGAGGCTGATGTGCCCATGAGCACCAAAGCTGGAACGCCCTACTATGTCGCACCGCAAGTGCTTCAAGGTGCGAACCGCGGTTCGGCCCGCGGAGCGCGAACCCCCGGGCCGATGGTGACCGGGGCATCCGTACTAACACGGCCCATACTAATACCACCGCCCACAGGGTGGTGTACAGACCCCCCCAGGATGGATGGATGTTCAATAGAATAACCACCCGAACTGGGTGGTGCTGGTAGATGTTTATAATTCGTTTCATTCTTGAGCAATGGCATAGGAGCCCATCGGGAGAGATTTTGGGAAATTCATGCATTTTTGTAGAGAGAGGAGTAGTGAAGAACATGTTTATTGCACTTTTTGAGCTAATGTCGACCATGCGCATGACTGGGAAAGAGCATTTACCTCAAGTGTGGCCGGTGTGGCTGATGAAAAGCAGATGGTGGACGACGTTCAATACAGTACGCGTTGAGGCTAACAACTGCCCAGTTCTTCAAAGTGACCCAGATTGAGATGTGAGATTTTGAGGCCACTTTTCTCAAAGCCGTCACTGACTGGGAGGTTCTGGATGAAAGGTCTGGGGATCGCGAGATTTCAATCAGCCCTTGCTGAAGCTGATGAAACCATCCACCCACAGAGTTCTAGTTCTTCTTTGATGCCCACGAGGGTGGCACAGGGAGGGCGCCTTTTTGGTCAGGCAAGTATGACGCTTCCTGTGACATTTGGAGCTGTGGAGTGATTATGTACACCATGCTGTGTGTCTTGGATGGAGTGGCCGATGTTCCGCGTTGGCGGCCAAAGCTTGGGAGCCCAACTGGGCAGAAAAAGAACACCGGGGCGCGATGAACCACCTCAAACACTTGAAACATGGATCCGCTCCCGATTTCGGAGCCGTCATGGCCCTCATGCACATCAATGAGAAGCTTCAGAACGGGACAACTGCTTCGAGTGAAAAAAATGAGTCGATACGTACCCGTGCCTGGCCGTGGATGGTATCGGCCCCTGAAGAGGCCCATGATCATGATGCCCATGTTCGATCAAAGAGGTGATGAACTCAGGGAACTCCACTTCCATGATGATATGATTTGAAGGAGTGTAACTGAAGTGTTCAAGAAACCACCTGGCTGGAAGCCCCTTTCGTGAACTACTGCTTTGGGCTTTCATGAACTACTGCTTATGGCCTCATCCCAAGCGAATGGTCTTGGTGCACCCACCGTGTCGACAGACTGAGGTGGCTATCCGCCCTTCTATGGGAAGACGGACCAGGAGGTCCTCAGTAAAGTGCGCAAAGGGATGTACCAGCGCTTTGGATGCACCAACTCTTATTCCAATCCACATCAATCAACCTTTCACTTTCACCTTTAGTGGAAAGTTTGGTTTCGCCCCTAGCCTAACACTTCCGAACACTACCTTCCCTGCAAGAAACCAAGGAAGTGGAGCTCACCCCCCTGTTTGGTATTCGGAAGACTCATGGTAGTACTCCAAGGCTGTTCATGATTGTTGCAGGGACCCCTTTAAGAATCGGACCCCTTCAAAGAGTCCCTAGGGATCCAGTCGTACCTTCTCAGGTACGGTGGGACTGGGGTAGGTGCCATGTTCGGGTCCACATGCCTTCTGAGGTTCGGTACGACTGGATCCCTAGAAAGTGGTTTCCTCGAACAAAACTGGTGGTTCAGTGGGCCAAAAGCACGGAGGTGGAACGTCCGTTGGGATACCGCCGATTGGCATGGCCGAGGTCGGACAAGACATCCACACTCCAACAGAGGTTGAAGGACCCTAGTTCGACTGTCCCAGTTGGGTACCCCAATAGGGTCCTAGTTCAGGTCACTTAACCTGTCTTGGCTCCACAAGTTCCGAACTCGGTGGTGTCATCCCAACCAATCCCAACTTCCGATCGCGGCTCTTCCGGTGATCCAGTCGTTGGTGCAGGCTCGGCATTGCGCTCCCCCAGGCACCCCCCAAGACGTCGGGTTCGATGCGAAAAACCGACCGAGCTGGACCGTGGCGAGCGCCGCTGCGGCCGACCGGGGGAGACCAACGTCGAGTCGTACCCAGTGGTTCAGTGGTTTGGCCCTAGAACTCCAGTCCACCATGTGTTTAAGACGCTGAAAAAATCGGGTTTCGTAGTGCCAAACCCTTACTAAACCAATGCTTTTTCGACCGGTCCGACCGGGATTCAGGCTATGAACATGGTGCTTCGACTACCTTTTTCTAGCTCACTCTAGCTCTTGCTCTTGCTCTTGCTCGGCTCGGGTCTCCCAAAAAACCAGCCATTGGGCGAAACAGGGGCATGTGTTTTTGGCAACATCGACTTGAGGTTCGAGCCAAAGTATTGGAGACACATCTCTCAAGATGCTTGGACGATGGGTGTTTTCATGGCGACCAGGCGGTGGAAAACCCAGGCCGATGTGCTGAAGATCCATTGTAGTACTAAGGTGGGGCTGGAAGCAGCCCGGGGACGAGACAGGGACATGCTGGCGTTCTTGCTTTGTCAGGTTGTGGTTGTTGTTGTTACCTGGTAAGCCCCCAACCTTGGGAGAATTCTTGAGCTGCTAAGCTGTGTTTTGCACCAGCTGCTTCTTAGGGGTCACCAATGACAATGGAGAAAAAACAGCACCCCTCTTCAGGCAGGAAGTGAGGTCAGCAAAGGTATGCAAATGGTTCAGCAGCAAATCCAAGGATGCCAAGAAGCTCATTACGATGCTCTTGAAGTTCGAGCCCGAGACACGGCAGCTCGAGAGAGCGCTGGAGAGAAGCGCGGACGAACCGTGGGGGCCACGAAGCACGCGGACGCATCCACCCAAACTCCCACTTGCCAATGGAAAGACACAACAACCACGTGTGGGGGTCCTCCGGCACCCCCTGGTCAACCAGAGCCAACTACCACCTTCAGTACGTGAGCCTGGAGATAATAGAGTCGGCTGAGATCACAGTGCGTCCCTAAAGAGGTCGTGTACTGAAGGTCCTATAGGAACTTGATGGAACTTGTGTAAAGTGATGCATGCACACTCCCTGACTGTTACATGGTTCCGTGGATGGCATGGCTGCGAGTTCGGATGACCCTACTTCACTTCCACGACTGAAGGTGCACACCTACCAGGTGGCAGGTGGTGACCGTCGGGGTGACATGGCGGTGACCTGCGAGTCCGTGAAGGTGCCGGTTGTTGATGGGACCGATTTTCCGGTGATGTTCTTTAGATGGGGTTCAGTCCATGTAGACCACCTGAGGCAGTACAGTTGACCACTTTTGGGGCGTTCAGTCCATGTAGACCACCTTAGGGGGATTATGACCACCTTAGCGGGATTGTGCCTTCTGAACCACCCCATTCGGTCCAGAAGGGCGACCTCACCCGACGAACCCAGGTATACAGCCGAGCAAGCGTGTCCTGGCGGCACCTGTTGGGACAGAGGTAGCCAGTGACCGTAAATAGGACCCGGAACACCTGGGGTACCAGACTGGGATAGCCTAGTTCGGGTTCTTCAACCTCTGTTGGTTTTGGAACAGATGGTCGACAAACCACCTTTTCCCGAATCCATTCAGACAGCGCCACCCAAGGGTTTTTCGGACCTCCGACAAGGTGAACAACCCCGAACCCAGCCATGTTGAAGATGGGCTTCAGGGCCCCTACCGATCCCGATCCCGGCCACGGGCGCTGGAAGACGAGGGATGCGCCCATCGAGGCTTGACCCTGTGGATTGGCACATGAGCACCGCAAGAAACCTCCCAAGATGAACCAAGTAAAGGCCTTGTCATATGGAACTTGGGCGTAAGTAAAAACCTGAAGAGCGTAAGGTTGCGTAAGGGAGTTGTGAGACATGCATGTTGCGTAAAGCTTGCCATATGGTTGTGTTTTCATTCGTAGATTCTTAGCACACACTTGTCAAGAAAGGAACTGTATGGACCATGAGAGGATTAAACCCTTGGGAACTGACATTTGTGTGCACTGTGTTTCATGTGTGTGCACTGTGCTTGTTTGTGTTTGCAACTCTGTATCAAACCTTTCTCAAGTCAGCCCCATCATAACACGTCATAACATGCCAGGCTCCGTTTGGTGAGGGTTTGGTGGCGTAAGGTTCGCGTAAGCTCCGCGTAAGGTTCGCGTAAGCCAACTTTTCATTTGCCTACAGCAGCCAGTAAGTAGATGCTAGTGATCCTTTGCTTCCTTTGCTTCGGAGTCTTAGTGATCATGTGTTTGTCGCCCGCTCACCTGCAAACAGGAGCCTTCGCGTAAGCATTTCCCTTGGGAGTATGGTTCTCATCTGTGAAAATGCAGATGCGTAAGATTTGCGTAAGGTCTTCTTCAACATCCGTGGCGCGTAAGCTCACATCGTGGTCGCGTAAGAAAGGCGTAAGCAGGAGCGTAAGAACGTTATGCGACATAGGGGTTTAATCATATGTATGTTGCAGAGCTCACATGGGCCGATCAGGCCAGGGGTTTGAGGGCTGAATGCACCAGGAGTCACGTTCGACGGGGTGGTGTGGCTCGTCCCATCGGCCGTGGATGTGACGATGGGACACCCAACTCCTTCCGTTCGTCACCGGCACCCCTATCCTCCTGTGACTGGTAGATGAGATGTACCCAGAGACCATCCGAAAGGACTGGAAGAGTTACACAGATGGATCCCATGAACCTGTTCCTAGTGATTCCTAGGACCCTCCTGTCGGGGTGCCCTGTTGGGAAGCCCAACTAGGTAGTGTGGAGTAGTCCAGCCAGGACACCGCGACAGGAGGGTCCAGGTATGGTGTATATAATTTCTTAGTCCCATGGATGGTTTGGGGTAGGTAAATTTTCCAGTCCACACTTTGCGATGCTGGTGCTGCCAGCATATTGCAGCACCATCTCCGTTGGTCATGTCATTTCTCTTCACCAGGAAGGCCATGTCGTAGCACTGAGGTTGCAGGACACCTGGATCAAAGACAAAGCGCCCAAGGCGCAGAATGTTTGCCTCCAGGACCATCTCGTCCGCAATCTCAAGAATTTCAGGCACCCAACGTGGCGCCGGGTGGTGGTGTGGTTCTTGCAGTTGAGCTCACGCAGTAGATTGATAGAGAATGGGTCCATGAGTATTGATCGATAAACAACTTCATTTGGGTTGTTGGGGAGGCCTTTGGGGAGCTTTGGTGGCTGATGCCCCATGCTACGCATTGTGCGATTTGTAGGCTTTGGTGGTATTCATTGATATTCAATTGCCAAGAGTTGTATATATTCTTGTAGGGTCATCATCCAAGTCACACGTAAAGGACACCTTTCATTCATGACAGTCAAGTTACGTGGCACATGGGTGACAGCTTGCTGGGTGAGTGTAGTTGTTGACAGCTTGCACCCCTTGACCTGAACATACCAAGAGGTTAAGTGACCTGAACTAGGACCTTACTGGGGTACCTATGGGATAGGCGAACTAGGGTCCTTCAGCCTCTGTTGCTACCGTCTGTGGCGCATCTCGTGGTTGAAAGGGCGATCGGGCCCAACAATCCCTAAGGCTCCACCGCCCACCTCCTGAGGTTCGGCGGTTCCCATGATTCGTCCTACCCTGTACCAGGCACCCGAAGCAAACCATGAAAAATAGAGGGTTTCACATACCAAAACCATGGTTGGTTTGCTAGGGACAACCCAGGTTTTTGATGGGCCATGTGGAGCCCCTAGGAGTGCCCAAGGTACTTCTGGGGATGGGGCGACGCCCCGCTCAAAAGGATCAGGTGGAAAGTGTAGAATCGCCTCGTCGGAACCCATCCCTTCACAGGCTAAGCCCAGTCGCACAATGCCTGGTTTCCCACTCTCAATGAATTCGTGTAGACGGGAAATCTACAGGAAACCATGGTGTTTTCACCCCATTTCCTGTGGATGGAACCCCCCTTCAACCAACTTCTGGGACTCTTCCAGGTCCAAGAACAAGCTCAAGAAGGCGGCTCTCAACATCATCGCTGGGCAGATGAGCGAGTCGGAGATCACCGCGCCTCGCCTCGGAACGATGGAGACGGCGGATGTCCGACGACCGCCATGCGAGACGGGTTGGTTTTTGTCACGGGGTGCATCGCCCATGAAATCGTTAATGGAAGTGGACGATATGTTTTCTAAGTGCGGCCCAGGACCTTCAAAGTGACCTTTTGAGATCGTAGAATGAGGTCACTTAGTCCCTGAAGAGATCACTTAGAGACTCCAAAAAGGTCACTTTGAAGGTCCTGGGCCCTAACTAATAAATGGACAGCCATTTGGTTTCTAGATTGCTCTATTTGCTATCCTTTCGGGACCCTGCTGTAACCACGCTGGCCCATGATTGTGTACATGGTGGGTCCCAAGTCGTATCCCCCCCCTGCGATCACCCAAGCCCCTGTCTATGAATTTTCTGCATGGGTTGGAGATTGGCAGACCCCCCCGATACCAGCAGAGGTGGGTCAGAACCCTATAGATTGTCCTATAGGTACTCCTGTAGGGTCCTAGTTCAGGTCACTGGCTACCTCTGTAGCTACTCATGGGCCAACTCACCTAGACCGCCATTGGGCACATCCCAGGTTCACCACCCCGATGTAGGCAAATATGCCATACACCAGCACCACGGAAAGGGTGTCCATTAATAGCCTTAGCCACCCCTTTGGGGGTCCTGCCAGACGACCTCATGTTCCTTCTGTTTCTGTTTTTCCCGGCACGGAAAGCCATTGCCATGAGGTCCGGTCGACGTACTAAAGGTATCTTCAGTTAGCTGGTCTCAAAGTTTGAGGCCCTTCTTCGTGCAGGTCGGTGCAGGGAGGCGACAAAGCGGATGGCTCCCCGCTTGAAAAGAAAACTGACACTCCGACACTCCGGTCAGTGGACAAGACCACCATGATTTGGTAGGAAAGAGCCGTCTTCACATGGCCCTGTCCTCACTCCATCTCACTCCGGTCACCGGGTACGACTCCACTGAAAACGACCATGGACCCTGAACAACCACTGGTAAAGGAAAGCAGAACTCGGACTCAGGATGCCCTTCGACCCGGGTCCATGGGAGTGTCCAGCGGAACTCAGGACTTGCGCGAGACCTTCAAGTCGCTGGACGCCAACGGCGACGGCTTCCTGACGGTCTCCGAGCTGCGCGACGGCATTGAGAAGGCGTGACCATGCGTGACCCGCCGGACGGGCCCGGCAGAGGCGGGTTTGGGAGGAGCCTGAGACAGTTTCTGCTAGTAGTTCTGCTGCCTTCTTAAAAGTTGTGGATGTTCTTGAATGATCTTGAATGAAGACTCTTGACACATCTTTTGATGAAGAACCTGCGTGGAAAGGTTTTTCAATCTATATTGGGAGACATTTGTTAATCAAGAGCCTATACATATTAGATTGCGTTATTGGGTTTGATGTAGGTTTGTTTGTGTCAACTGTGAGGATCACCTGTTGGTGGAAAAGAGTGCCGGGCAAGAGAGTGTGCCAGTGTGTGTGTTTCTCGCTGTTGTCATAGGTTTTGCTTGGTGTCTCCCCGGTGCTTTGGTGCTCAAACGTGTTCACATGGCTCTTCAAATTCAATGCATTCATGTTTTTTTTTTTTTGGGGGGGGGTGTTGCGACTGCTATAGGATGCAATTCAAGCCTTGCTATAATTTTGGCAATTCAATTTATATTTTGTGATGACATGACGAGTCTCAGATGCTCACGCATGCGGAACCTTTGGGTGCCCCTCAATCTCGCAGCCCTTAAGATCAGGTGGTGAGTAGCCAAGCTGACCGGATTAATCTCATAATGAATTTTACTCAGACGCTACATCTATACCTAGGGCCTTTCGTGGACCATCAAAACGTGTCAATTTGACCCCAATTGGACACCCCCCCCTGCAGATTAACATGTTTGTTACTATAAGTTTATGTCATGTTCAACCTTTACGTGGGATGATTGGAACCCACTGAAGAGTTTTTCAGGTGCGTTGAAAGATTACTGGAACCCAGTGGGGGATGGGTTGTTCAACCTGAAGCCTCACCAGTCCGCCAGTGCCCTGGTGCACCATGTCACGACAGACCTTCCAGTTCTTCTTAGGTCAATGCAACCAGCTTCTTCAAAGTCACCTCTTTGGAGTGCCTAAGTGACCTTTTACAGGCCCTTTTGTGACCTCAAACTGGGATATCAAGTTCGGTCACTTTGAAGAACCACGAAGGTCTATCTGTCACCGCATTGTGACGCCTCCAACGCCCATTGAGCGCTCGCACCGTTTGACCGAAGCTCTGCTCCACACGCCGCGACGCGAAGAGGCGCAGCTGCGGCGACCGACCATCGACTTGGACGCGGTGGTGGAGGGCGTCGACGCCGATGGCAGCGGCCTCATCGACGCTCGGGATCGGGGAGCGGGATGCGGAGGGGAAGAGCGGTGAAGTGGGTGGTGAGGTGGATGGGGGAGGTGGATGGGGGAGGTGGATCTGGATCAGGTGTGTTGTTTAATTTGTTATGCCAGTGTGCAAATCCTAAAGCCTTTGAAACTGCATAGGGGACTTGTTTTTATTCTATTACCTGGAAGTAGACTCTGAGATATTGGATCGCCACTGTGATCCCAAACGGTCGCTAGCTTCCAACCCTTGTCTCAAAACCTTGCCCTTCCCAAGCAACGTGCCACACAAAGGCATACGGACCAACGGAACAAGTCCGTCGGTCGTTTAGGTTGAACTCAATATCCGAAAGCAGTAGTCATCCATGCCTTTTGCCAACTAACACCGTACACCTTCCATACACAGATTCAGAGGTTCGATATATATTATATACCCCATGTCAGTCTATATATGGACGTCCCCCATTTCTTTAAGACATCTTTAGGTGTTTGCCATTTCTCAACTCTGAAACCACGAAACCACTGGCGGCCTACCTCACTTCAGCTCTTCTCTTCTCCTCAGCCGATGCTCGCCCCGCCCCTCGCGCGGGTCGCTCCAAGGACTACACGGAGTTTTTGGCCGCCACACTGGATAAGCGGGTGCCCGGTCACATCCGAAGTTGGATCCACTGGGCAGCTGGAATTAGCTGATAGGTCTCTGTAGCTCTTTGTAGAGTCTTCACCAATGAGCTATAAATGACATAGAATGACATCATTCAACTGGTTCAGTATTTAACTTGATCACCGTCCTTGTGATCATGTTGTGTTCATCTCATTCCTTCCACCAGCAGCTTTCGAATCTTTTGGACAACCACTGGGTGGCACAGCACAGATATATCGATGAGTGTCACCTCGCTGTGGGTTCTCGCCCCTCGCTGTGCGAATCCTTTGGACCCTGGACCCGTTCTGACGATGTGATTGTGACGCAGAGCAAGCAGACGAACGACCAACGGTACGAGTCAAGAAACAAAGCAAAACGCGACAAGTCAAAGAAAGGTGACAAGTCATGAACTCAGAAAGACACTCATTTGCTACTGGCAACACCTGGCGCATCGCGCCAGACAGTCACCCTGTCACACTCCTAAAGGCGTCGCTCACGACGGACCCATTTATCTCTAGCCCGACCCCCGGTCAGGGAGAAGGTTTGGACGTGCGACGTGTCGGTGAAGGGAGAAGATTTGCCCCTTCCAAGTCGAAAAGTGGAAGAAGCCCTAGGGATCCAGCCGTACCGAACCTCAGAAAGTACGACTGGACCCTCCTGGCACCTACATAACAGTGCCTCCAATCACCGTACCTGAGAAGGTACTTGGATCCCTAGGGAAGTTTCATTGAACTTTGATCTTGAAAGCCCCTTCAAGGTAGTCTGGTCATCAAGGTAGTCTTGAAACCCCTTAGGGACTTGAGAACCTTTATCAAACAGTTTCAAAGCCCTAGCTTTTGGTCATCGTTTCTACGCACCACCGGGGAGGTGTTCTATACAGACCAGAGCTCCGGTCGGGCCGCAGGTCTACCTCCAGCGGGACGTGTGCTATACCGCCTTCGCGGTCTTCGACCAAGACGGTGATGGCCGCATCACGCTGGACGAGCTGAAACAGCCGCTGGGACCAGTTCTGTAAGGCCATGGCCAAGAACAACGGCCAAAAACTGATGTGCGGACGGCAGCTGCCGAAGCTATAAAGAAATGCCAACAGATTCCAAAACTAACTTTTGGTCATTGTTTGTCCAGGTTTTAGGTTGTGAAGACCGTTTCTCATGAGTGGTTCAGCTGGAAAAAAACGACGACAAACTACTGTATATATATGCTATATGTTGTGGGGAGGTTTGGCTTCGTGGCGGAGAGCTCGCCGTGGGATGCCTTTTCAGGATCTTGGAGAACGGCTCGGTGGATCAGATGATGGATGGATGCAAGTCAGAGGCAGGGAATCTGCATGAAGGCAGTGATGAACCTGGAAGCCTTAAAAGGGGGCAGTTTTGGTTCTTCACTCCAAGTGAAGAGGTGGGCAAAAGCTCACCTTCTATTTTTCTAAGAAAACTGCGCGAGCCACGGTAATGCAAGTGATAAGCCAGTCCTTGGAGAGGGGTGGGGGGAGTCGCGGCACCACGTGCTGGATGAGGTTCACCTCCTGGCTAGGTGGAGTCCTTGGAGAAGGGAACACCTACAGGAAACCAGGGTTTTCAGTCCCACAACTGTGGGTTTCCTGCAGATGTTTTCCCTTGAACATCCTTAAGCCAATGCATTGTGGTGCTTTTTGGTGTCTGGATTCCTTCTTGTTGATAGCTCATGATCGCTCAAACGAGAAGAGAAGGGTTCATGCACCCCTGGTAGTGTTGGAGTTCATTCCTAGATCCCGTCCGCGGTCCACCTGTGAGGTGAAAACACCGCCAGGAATCCTGCCGTCCCGCCGCTCCCGTCGCGCCGATCCCGTCCGCGCCAGGAACTCTTACATGAGGTGGATCAGAATGGTGATGGTTCGATCGACTTCGAGGACCCCCGGGTCTCGTTGTTGCAAAGTGGCCAACAAATGATTGTTGTTGTTCTACCTGTACTTCAAGCATCTTCAAGCAACTTATACTGCTCAGCATTGCTTATTTTCAGCAACAATGGTTCATTTTAGGATTTGGAGTTGTTTGGTTCAGGAGGCTCGCCTGGTCTTTAGGCCGCTAGCCTGGTCGACCTCCCAACAAGTTTCACCACGCACCTGGTACATCGCGGCTGTTCTTCCCATCGCGATCTCCCACCGATCGATCGCTTCCAAGCTCGCTTGGCCATGAAAACATGCAGCATCCGTCCCTGCTCAGCGAAAGGACGGGGGATGTCGGTCCGTTCCACGGCCTCGCTCGCACTGGGAGGAGTTTATGGATATGATGAGAGGTCGATCCATGTCCATGGACACCACCACACCCAGATCCAAGGCGCGTGAACCAAGTCGCGCGCGGTTCGCGGGAAGAGCGAGCTCAGGGATCTCCCACAGCGGAGTCTGAAAAAACACCGGGGGGGGGTTGTAACATGACGGATGAAGGTGTTGTTGTTCTTTGCACCTCTTTGCCATGTTGTAACAACGTACTTTTGGAACCTAAGATGTCTCTCATGCTTCTCGTGCGAATCAAGGAAGGGTTCCACTTCGATTTTTCAGCCGTGTTCTGCTTGCATCAATCTCAATCAAGCCTCCCCAAAATCCTCAAGGGTTCCACTTTCATGGCGTTTATTGGTTGAGAACCTGGACCCCCAGTCGTAATGGTGAATGGACACCCCGAATGACCTCTTTTTGGGGCTATCCGCTGGTGCTGGCGTTTCTTTTCTTTCAACCCCTGTTGATTCCTGTCGCCGTCGCGGGGGTCCTGTCACCCTCGCAGTCACTGGGAGGGCTTGAGTCCAAATGGTCGCCCCTGAATTCTCTCGTTTGCTTGAGTCCAAATGGACGGGCTGATTGAGCTCCAAATTGATTGAGCTACAAATGGATGATCCGTGTTTAGAGTTTTAGGGTTTTAGGGTTCCTGGGTATGTAATTTCAAAGATGATGGCAGTGGCTAAAATAGGCTTCTGAATAAGGATCCAGCCTGCGTCAAAGGATCCAGCCTGAAAATAAGAGCTGGGTTTGTTGTGCAAACCCCTGGTGCCCATTCAAGAGGTGATGTGGATGCTTACAAAACCCTTTATTTCAGGTCAGTTCCCCCCAGTACTTAACGACATCTAACATGCGAAAACCCAAATCAACCTATTCAACAACCAGCACCACGGAAAGGGTGTCCATTAATAGCCCCTATAGAGGTTAAGGGCTGTCCATTAACCACCCCTTTGGGGGGTCCTGGAAACTTGCCTCTTCGACTTCAACCGATGTCGCCACCGCCCGACGGGTTGCGTCCACAGCACGGACCCGCAGATGGGCGGACGCTCAGCACGCTCTGGACGTTCTCGCGATGTGTCGCCCAGCTTGTTGAGATCCCGGAGCAAAGTGAGTCAACATGAAAAGGCGCAGAAGTGTCACCTGGATGCATCAGGATTCGTGGACGGACTTCGGAGTCCCATGAAGAAAAAGGGGGCTTCTATGAAGACTGGAGGGGTGGCTCCTATTCATGATCCACGAAAAATGAGATGGGTCAAGAACTACACCCAACTTGGAACTTGTGGGGTTCTTTTTGGATTCGTCGGCTGAATTCGTGGTTACAACGCGGGCTCATTCTGATTCACCGTGAAAGGGGTCATGTTTTAGAGCCGCATCTGGATATGGCCACCCTGTTAAAGATGTAATTGAGGGGGGGGTGAGGTATGTAATTACAATTTCCAATTACATTATTTTCTGCATGAGGTGGGGGGGGTGAGGTATGCAATTACAATTTCCAATTACATTGTTTTCTTAAATGATGGCATGGTGGCTCAAGAACTGGCCATGGGAGACACCTTTTTGCTGCCATGCCTCCGTGATATCCACTATGCCCGGCGGCGCTGCCTGGGCACGTGGTTGGTTCGAGCCTTAACTTGTGTCTGTGCTAAATGCTACTCATATGTTGAGAGTGAACACAGGATCACGAAGGTGCTAGCTGCGAGAGTGCCAATGCACATGTTGACATAACATAGATTAGAACGGGCTGCGTTTGTTATTTTGGTGCACCAACTCCCTCGCTGGATTGCCTGCTTGCAAGCAGGTTCCAGGAGGCAACAGCTTCTTTGAGATGATGAGACAGCCCGAGATCAAAGGCCAGATGCCTTGCAGAGTGTTAAAGTGATTGATTGCAAGTAAGAAACAAGCACTTTGACAGCTACTTTCCAGTGACAGATTTCAGGGTGAGATAGAATGAGATTTGCGCTGGGATCACCTCTTGTTGGTGTGCATGCTTTCAAGAAGCACCTGTTGTGTTTCCT